TATCATATCATATCATATCATATATCATATCATATTATATTATGGGTGTAACGATACACATATTCATATTGAACTGTTCGGTACGAGGCTTTCGGTTCGGTACGCATTACAAACCAAATGATTCGTTGGACTAATTACATTTAGAAAATAAAAGAGATTAAAGTGTGTGAAATATAATGTTCTCTTGCTGGGTTGTGTCGAACGATGATGATCTTGTATCGACAATTATAGCCAGAGATATTGTCAAAAACATCATTCATTGGCAATATTAAGAGGATCTGGCATTTCCAATTAATGTAGACCTGTTATATTCTTATTTTTTATTAGGCCTATTATTATTATGAAGTTACTTTTATTATTAATTTAAAATTACTATTAATTTGCCCTGCAATAATTACCACATAACTGACGCGCTGCGAGGATAACAAAAGCTTAGACTATTTACTCCTCAATTAGAATGTTTTTTTTTGTTTTTAAAAAAGGTCTTTTAAAACAGGTCTATTATAGGCTTATAATTAAAATATTAACACTGCAGTCATTAATAAAAATCAATGAAATAAAAAGCTTTATTTCAAGCACCGACTTTAAAAAACAACCTGTTTAACATGAAATACGTTTTTTTCTCATTTTTTTCACTATGTACAAGCCACAAGAGAAATATTAAGGGAATAAATTAAAACAGTTAGCTATATACCGTTATCAGCATATGTTAAAGTAGATTCGTCTCTCGTCGTCTCTGAGAGAATATGCAGCGTCAGATGCCGAAAGCTCCATCATTACTCCCTTTTACTTTCACTATCTGCATAGTGAATCGACTGAGATTAAGACGTTAATTATATTATATTATATTATAATACTTGGGATTTAAACAAACTATAAACAAACCCTGTTCTGCAAGAAAATTCAGTCCAGTTTTCTTATGCGATTTGTCTGTTCAAACCAGCAGAAAAAACAGCGAAAAAACAGCATACAGGCTGAATAAAAAAGAAAATGCACTCTCTGACAGTAGGTGGCTCTTATAAGAAAATCAGGAATACTCCACTTAACACAGTACACAAAGTGCAAGCTTGTCACAGGAAAGAAAACAAGATAAAACAGTATTTACGATTTTATTTTAAACAGCTGATTTGATTTTTCTATTTTCTATGCACTAATGCACCACCAAGTCATAGTTTTAGGGTGCTTTCACACCTGTATCTGTAATGCTTCCACTTGGTAATACTCTTTAATCTGTATATGCTTCCACTTGGTAATATCATAAGGAAATATAAAATCTCTTTTCATTTTTATGCAGATGATTCTCAGCTGTATCTTCCATTAAAATCTTGAGATTCTCTGCAGCCTCTCATCAACTGTCTTGAGGATATAAAATGCTGGATGTCAAATAACTTCCTGCAGCTCAACAATGATAAAACTGAGGTGATTCTCTTTGGTCCCTCTAAAACTAGAAATTCTGTTGCTGGGAACTTAGAAAACCTCACTCCATATGTTAAGTCTCATGTAAAAAATCTAGGTGTTATCTTTGACTCTGAGCTTTGTCTTGAAAAACAAATTAGCTCAGTTGTTAAAAATAGTTATTATCAGCTGAGGATCATCTCGAAGCTTAAATCAACACTTTCCTTTCAAGATCTGGAAAAAGTCATTCATGCTTTTGTCACATCACGCCTGGATTATTGTAATTCGTTATATGTTGGTCTTCCACAATCTTCATTGGCACGGTTGCAGATGGTTCAGAACCTTTCAAGATCTGGAAAAAGTCATTCATGCTTTTATCACATCACGCCTGGATTATTGTAATTCGTTATATGTTGGTCTTCCACAATCTTCATTGGCACGGCTGCAGATGGTTCAGAACGCGGCGGCTAGATTGTTAACCGGCACCAAAAAACGCGAACATATTTCTCCAGTTTTAGCGTCCCTTCATTGGCTTCCTGTCTTTTTTAGAATTCAGTTTAAGATTTTACTTATTGTTTTCAAAGCTCTTAATGGACAAGCCCCATCTTATATTTCTGATCTTATTTATTTGCATTCAACGCCGAAGTCTCTCAGATCCGCTAATAAAGCTCTATTTCATGTCCCTCGGTCACGACTTAAATTAAAAGGAGACAGAGCTTTTGCAGTCGCTGCTCCACGTTTGTGGAATCAGTTGCCACCTGACATTAGGAGTGCTTCTTCTGTTTATATTTTCAAGTCCAGACTTAAGACACATTTTTACTCTCACGACTTTCCGGGCTATTAATTGAATGTGAAACTGTTGTTATTGCCGATACTTACTGTAGATCGATTGCTTTGTTCCGAAACAGGGATTCAAATTATTACAATGTTGCTTTTTATTCTTGGTGCGGTTCGCTTTCACACAGCAAAATTTCTAAACAGACCAAATTTGTTAATACAAGTCAAGCGCGAGTAAACTGTTCTCTCATTGGTCAAAGTTCCACGGTTTATTTTCCGGGATTCCACTTAGCTGTCACGGATGTCATCCGTCAGGATGGAACGACAACAGTTACGTGGGCTTATTGTTGGGTTTTTTTTGTAGCTGTCGTTATAATAATTGATCATTTTGAGCAGGAGTACAGGATTGATTGGGAAAACATTTTTAAAATGCACCTACTACAAAGAAGAGCAATAATAAAAAGTGCGCTTTGATTTTTGAATGGCAAGACGTGCTCACCCACAGACATTCACAGGTTCATTTTGAGGTATTAGCAAAACAACAAAGCTAATGCTTTTCACGGAACTTACGTAATTACCCAATTATAAATTGTGATATAGCCTGGTTCGTTGGTCC